TGGCATCTATTATCAGACAGAGTGTATATCAGTAATCAAGATAATATATGCAGTAATAATAATTTGGATATTTTTAAAGCCTTCTAATCAATTAAGTGGCCTTATTAGGGAATTCCTAGGTTTGTAGAAAATTATTGTCAACAACAGATCCTTAACTTCATTTTTGATCAAAATGGATGTGTGCAAAACAGCTTTCAGAGACATTTATAGAGTAAAGAAACAGAAGCAAAGCAGAATGGATCTCCCAGGCCACATTTATGTCTCCACTGTAATTTGTGGAGAGGAAATCTCCAGGGGGTTGGGCACTGGAATTTGAGATCATTCAGGCTGGTGAAGTTCAGTCCAGCAGGTTGGGGAGAAGATGTTGAAAGGGTGGGTGAGCGAGTGTGACTGGATGGCGCAACCACTGAGGAGCCCAAGAGAGACATGAACTAATGCACCTAGGTAGAAGAAGGTGACCCTTGAACGGGCAAGAGAAGCTGAGTGTATGTCTAGAGGAGACTCATCAGTGCAGGGGACACTCAAAGATGATTATGTCTGGGACGATCGTGACTCTATCCACAGAAAGCAGCAGGAACATTAAAGAAAGCCTGATTTTGTGGACTGAGGTTGACCTTGATTACAGATATCTATCTATCTATCTGTCTGTCTGTCTGTCTGTCCGTCCATCCGTCCGTCCATCCGTCCGTCCGTCTTTTAATTGTGGTAACTCTGACTGCAGTCTTGCGAAGATCTCAGTGTGACTTACCTCCTGACACACATCTCCTAGCAACCTCCCAGAGGATGAGTCCGAAGCTGTACATGTCGGCCATGATATAGGACTGAAAGTGATTTCGATTCAAGCTCTCATCCAACACTTCAGGAGGCATGTAGCGTTTGGTGCCGACTCTCGTGTTGGGGGGTATGTCCACTTCATTCGTGTCACTAGGGAAACAGTCAACAAAGCACATGGAAGACCATCAGATGACACGTCCAAGCTATTTCCAAAGAAGACCGTTCCTGAAAGGTGGAAAAGGAGAAGCTCCCAGCGGGTAAGAATACTTCCTTGAAAGGCAATTCTTGTCCAAAGTGATATTCAGAGACCGCAGGGAAAGCCCAATGAAAAGGAGACTCAACCGGAGTAAAGTGGCAACACATGACATGATATTAAGTGTAAGCTCTAAATCATGCCAGATAAATGCCTAAAAAGACTTCCCTGCATGTTTTAGCAGCGTTGACTCTAAAGAATGGCATACGCACGTCACCAGGGTTTGGCTGTGGCTGTGTGTGTGTGTGTGTGTGTGTGTACACTGAAGTCGGATGTTGTGAGTCTTTTTGAGCTACAAACAAGTAAAATGGTTTAAAAAGGGGGGAGGGGAAGGCCCACAAAGGCTTGCAAATGCATTATTTTGAGGAAGGAACACATACAAAGCTTGATCGCTAGTATTTCATAAGCCAAATGATATACGTTCATAAAAAAGGGCATAAAAATAGAACATACACCTTTCGTTTCAGGAACATTTCGCATGATGCAGTCATCCTCCCTTCCCGTGCGGGGCTGAGATTTCGTGCAAGACAAACATAGCCTGCAGACTGGCACTTCAGAACCCATCATTTCAGGGCGGCAAGCGTTCTAAATGCGTGTCTGAAGCTGTGGAACTAGGACCCCTTGCTCTGTTGACTCGGTGAGGTGAGCCATGGAAAGTGCCTGCCCAGCAAGTACCATGCACACAAGAGATGCTTCGTAACTAGCTGCGGCCAGGTTGGTTCTGATCCGCGGGGACCCCGTACGTGCAAAAGCAGCAGTTCCACATCGAGTGGCCAGTGGCCGTGCGGTGAGCCCTCTGACGCCAGGCCTGGCCTGTCTTTCAAGGCACTTTGGATGAGCTTTCCTCTCTCATCCTTGGGTTAGGAGCTTCAGACCATTTCCCACTAATCGAAACCAAGCCAAGCTCACAGCCATCGAGTGGATGCTGACTCAGAGAGACCCTACAGGGCACAGTCGGACCGGCCCTGTGCGTTTCCGAGGCTGTGACTCCTGATGGGAGTGGAAAGCCCCGTCTTCCTCTGGTGGCATGGCTGGTGGTTTGGAATTGCCGACCTTGTGGACTGCAGCCCACTGGGTAACCACTATGCCACCAGGGCTGTCTAGACACCCTCCCGGCCTCCTTCGTAAGTACTACCTCATCAGGAAACAGTGGCAGGTCAAAAGGACCAAGCCCCCAGTTTTTATGAATGACAGAGGATACAGAAACTCATTAGCAGACTAAAGCGTGTGGGAAATCTTAGCTAAATCTTCCTACCTGCTCCCTAGAAAGTGCTGGGGTTTTGTTTGTTTGTTTTTCATCATAGTAACAGTGATCATCAAAAACAAATCAAAAAATTATATTACAGACAAATAATATCAAATTTACCAAAACCATATATATATAAAGATTGCTACCATTTACTATCACGTATAAACACAGAGCCTCGTGTGTAGACCTTTTCAGAGCTGCTTCCTGCTACAATTCCTAATCTACAGCTACTTCAACAAGAAGCCATCAGCATATTCATCGGGCTCTCTGTGGTCTTCTGGGAGCAACAACTCTAAGAGCTTCCTTTCCTAAAATAACATGAAAGAGTAAATTTTTAAAATGCAGGAGATTAAAAAAAAAAGACAAAACAGCTGGTACTCCTTGCTATCAGTGGACATGGGTTCGAATGTTCTGGGCTGTTTCTATAAATTGGAGACGAGGTGGGAGGTTAATTCCCAGCATTACCCAGCATGCTCTGATAGCAAGCTGTCACCACTGTATCTAAAAGGTCAATGGTAAGGAAGGAAAATGTAGGGAGAAGCAGGTTCATGGGAAATTATAAAAAAGACACAAGTTTCACTTAACAGCCAAGAAGTCATTTTTCTCCTCCTCATCTTGTTGACACCTCTCAGGTGGGCCCCAGCAGGCATTTCATTAGCGCATACGTGTGTGTATGTTTGTGTGTGTTACAATATAATTGATCGTGTGAGTAAGAGACTGTTGGACCCTTGCAGGGAATCCTGGCTTCTGTGCAGAGAAATCAAACACAGGCCTTGCGGCTTGAAAGAGGAAGGTGAAGGGTCCCCGTTATGTCTTGAGTAAGTAATGGGGAAGGAGACCGAGAACAGAGTTCCCATAGGACCCAGTCAGGCATTGAAAAAGGCTACAGGTGTGCTCGAATAATAACTGGCAGATGCGGGCAATTCCATTCCCTTATTGTTCTCAGTTCCTGTGGGGTTTATTTGGATTTTGCAGATCAGAAAAAGCTAATGGAAAGTTGAGATATTTAGTGGACAACTACTGTAAGGTAGTTTTACCTATAAAATGACTAAAGGCTTGCAGTGGTTGGGCTACTGGTCACCTCTAAACTTTCTTTCAAGTGCTTTCTTTCAAAGTACTTAACCAAGAATTCTGCTTGTCCAACAAATACCGCAAAACTAGCTCTTTCCACAGTCCCTGCCTCCTCCTCCTTCCACTCTGACGGCAGGAGCCTTCTTCTGTAGTATTTGAATAAATACACTCCCTACTCATACAGGAATAAATGTCTGCTCTAGCGGTATGTACAAATGTATCTTCCACAGGAAGTACTTGAGTAAATGTCTTCCAATCAGATTAAAGACTCCTTGGAGCACTGACACACTGTCACAGTAATTCCGTATGCGCCTACAGAGGATGGCCCCAGCCCATCCCCTTCAGAGTGAGCTTAGCCACATAGTAAGCAAATAATATACTTTCAACGAAAGAAAAAAAACTTGTTTACAATTACTTTGCTATGACTAACTGAAATAGAAAATGCAAAAATCACAGCTATATGTACACCATCAAGTAGGATATACCTACCTAAATTTAGAAGTTTATAATCAAATTAATTTTGTAAAAAGAATGTTGTTTACATAATAGCAAATGCCTTTACCCCCAGCTATAAGCAACAAATATGCTCATAATAAATCATCCCTATCCACTTGTTAGAGCATTCAATTCTTCAAAACCGATAGCTCTGTCTTTTCTTCCCTCAGCAGTCGAGGTAATTAAATGGCACTTCTCCCTCAGGTTTTCAGAAACATCATCTTACCTGTTCCCAAATAAGGGCAGAGAGAAACTCAGCTTCTATTGATCTGCTGGGCCAGAAATAGAATTTAAAGTGGCTTAAAACCAGTACACCAAGGACGAGCAAGGAAATAAGAGAGATGAGATGAAGGGCACAGAGCCAGTCCCGAGCGTCCATAACACCAGGGGATAGAGTAACAGGAAGAGAAGGGGTCAAGGACAAAGAAGGAAGCAAGTATGGTCAGACCACCTTCTGCTGCCCTGGCCTCCGTTTCCAGGGAGTGTGGGAAACATACTGTGCCGGTGGGGAAAAATCAGCACAAATAAAGCCCAACCCCACAAAAGAGCCCTCTGTCCTCAGGTGGCTGTGCACATACGCACTCAAAATAGAAAACAGACGCAGGGAAGACCAGCCTTCCCTTCCAGACACGGGCTCCTACTGAGAGGGACTGGGTCAGGGAGGCCGACCACACAGAAAGCTGGCAAACAGCTGTTCTGGCACCCTTCTGGGGACCCCACTCTCTGGAGGCTGGAAGCCGGCGCCTGTTGGCAGTGGAGGCCTCCCTGATGATGCGCTCTGACAGGAGGTCCATAACGTCTTGGTGGGATGGGCTGTAAGCAGTGAAGCAGTTGTCAGAGGAGTGAGCAGAAGTGTGGCGGGGTCGCCACCCGGCGGCAACTGGCAGGCAGCTTCAGTGTGGGGGTGGCCTTGGATGGCTCCCACGGAAGCACACGCTCTGGCAAGGCTTGCCTCTCTTCTGGCTGGTGGCACTGACATCTCTGGCATCAACTTCTGGACATTTGGACTTGAGCCATAGCCTGCCATCTTGAATTCCTTCCAGTGACCTGGACTTCTCTCTCCTCTGTCCACCTCAGCCTGTCATCTTCTCGCTTCCTACTTTCTGGTCCGTCAGTCCCAGCGGGTACATGAATCAGAAGTCTCCAGCTTAACATCTGAACCGCAGACTTGAACTAGACGACACTCACCCTTTCAACAACTGTGTGTGGTACTTCCTAGATACAAGTCTTTATATGGTAAAAAAGATATGAAAGCTGTGAGAGCTCCCAACAGAATGATTATTAAAATGAAAAAAAAAATGGAAAGAACTACAAAAAATTGTATTTCAGGATTAAGGGATAGATTATCAAATGTGACCTAAATACATGTGGAGATGAGCGGCCACCAAGGGGAATTAACACCCTCATGGAAAACGTGCCGGATGGACTCCACTGCGTGACCTGCCCCCTCCCTTCCTGGGGGAGGGTCGGGGTATGTGTGCCAGGGCACCGTGATTGAAGAGGATGGCTTCTCAGCATACAGGGGTAAGTCCGTTTGCCATTTGTATTTTTATCATTAAGGTTTCAACTGGATCCAACATGAACTTAGCCTCTGTTAATGTGAGTACCAGTGTGAAACAGGCTTAAGTAGAATTATAAGAAAATAAAACAAATTTTGAGAAAAGAAAATAAACTGAGGGATGCCAGGTAAATTCTTCTCTGTGGGAAAAACAGTGGCACCAACAGCCTTTCTTCAGTTTAGAACCACACTTTCATGGGAATTCTTCTTCTTGAACGTGAGAGACGGTGGGGCTGAGGCTTGATAAAACAAAAATGCCCAAAAATGACCATGTAGGGATACCAAGAGATTCTAAACTCTCAGAGAAAATAAAGGTCTTGGTGGCATCATCTGAGGGCTTAGATTTATATTCTCCAACATGTTTTAAAGCAGACAATACCCTAAATTGTCCCATGTCCTCAGTAAGGATGTCTTCTCCTTTGAGCTGATAAGTGTTTGGGAAAGAGAAGAATCAGCAGCAATGTCCCAACACATATCATCGGACACAGAATGCTGAAAGCCAGAGAGGAAGACGGGTTCCTGAG